TTTGGGTTAAAATTCGTTCAATAAGGGTTAAGGCGAATGGTAGGCTTTATTACGAAAGGCGGAGCTGGGAGCTGTCACGAGTAGTGACCTATGTTACGTCCTTTAGTTTTATATTGCCTGCTGTTCTCTATAACAGAAGGCAAACACGAATGACGGAGAGAATGACTCTATTGGTGTCCAGCAGTTCGCCAATTATTCTGTTATTTAAGCCGTTCAACTGCGCGGCTCTCATAGACTTACCAAGCGCAGGTCCAGACTTCCCTGGATCCCTCTTTTCCCCGTTCTTCAAACGAGCAAGTACACAGGTTCGTTTTTATAGATCCTGCGATGTGTTCACCCCAATCTTTGGCTACTTCCATTTTTTTGCCGTGGTGGGTCCACTATATTGTCGTCTGTCTCGGTGACTTTCGTGCTTATTTATGTTCGATCCGAATCAAAAGGGCCTCAATCTATGTGACGTTCATTAGATTTCCTTGAAGAGAAATACGCGGCAATTAAATTTAGCCTAACCGTTTTGATCTCCAGCGTTAATTACTTATAGTTAGTCTCCCACCCGTAAAATTGCACTGATCGGATACCCCTTTTCGTGTATTTCTACGAGTTTATCACTAACGCCGTCTTACATTACCTTGTGTGCCTTCACCTTTTAGCCACCCCGTCTTCCATCGTCGTGGGGATGACCTCTACACAAATGTTTCTATTGGTCTTGTGGATGCTCTGGTCGGCTTTCGGTTCGACCTGACGCACCTTGATGGCCATAAGGTTTGCCGCTATCTTTTTGTTAAATACTTTCTGTTCGATTCGCTCTTTTGATAGTAACTTAAGCCTTATCACGTCGACTTTCAGCGGCGGCCTCTCATAGTATACGTGGCTGTTGAAGTAAGTACAAAAAAGGCAAGAGGAACCGCTGGTCGGGTTGCTCGGAACTTAAGTTAGTCTTTGGTTGCGTACTTCCGCGCGCATTGCACATATCAGACGGTGGCTTTAAGTCGTGCCAGTCATTGTTCCTGTTATAGCCCTATTGAACAACTGGATCTCACCTGCGTCGCCACTTATTATAGCCTAGTATTT